CAGCCTTTGAAGCGCGCAGGGAAGGGCTTGGCCGGAGCGCGCGCCCGAGGGTCGGCGGCGGAGCCTCCTTCCCCCGGGTCCCCATCCCAACCGTTTCTCCCCGAGTCGCCGAGGGTTGGAAACGAGAGTCAAACGACCTCTCAGTACTGGGGGTGGTGACCGTGGCTACCGGGGGCGCGTGAATCCCCCGCGGCTGCCCAGATTTCTGCAGTGTAGACGGTTGGAGGAGCCCGGAGTCTCCGCACAGGGCCGTGCGTCCGGAGGTCCGGGTCCGGGCTCTCAGCGTTCGAGAAATCCCGCCTCTGGCGCGCAGGCGCCCTTGGCGTCCGGGGTAACATCCCCTCCCCCTCGCAGAGTCGGATGCCCTGGGGTGCTATCCCGGGGACACCTAGGGTTGCCGAGCCGGGGCACAGGGCTTGTCCGCAATCGGAATGCCGGGGACCTGGGCCTGAGGGTTGCAGTTCTGCGTAGCACGAAGCTTGCAGGCTCAGAACAGGTGAGGTGGACAGAGAGCGCTCCGAGGGTGGCGCCACAGGGCCCCTCTCTCCGGTGAGCCCCTCTAAGCTCTTCGCTACACCCTGTAGCGAAGAGGTGCTGCAGAGAGCGCGGGCAGGGCAGGTCGGGACCGTGAGAACTCCAGGCTGTCCGCGCAGAGTCACCGTTAGGTGCTCAGGCAGGGCGTTGGTTGTGTAAAAGGAAAGTTTTGCCCCGTGGTGGCAGATTGGCCGCTGCCGCGGGAGAAACCCACCTCTACCCTTTTCTTACTCCCAGTCCTCAGGCTACTGCAGCCTTCTGTTCTGGGCTTCCAGAAGCTGAGCTCAAAGTTGGGCCCTTCCCAGGGCAGGCTGGGACTGGGGGTGTGTCCTCCCTCCCGGCTAGGTCCGAGCTTTGCAAACCCTGTCACAGCCTTGTTGAGCCCAGGGAGGCTGTGACCTTGGCGCAGCGGCCTGGGATGAAGAGGCCTGGTGGATCTGTCCCGCTCTGCCCCCCCCCCCCCCCCCAGCCGTCTCGTGCTCATGTGGTGCTGGGAGGGTCACAGTTGATGGTGGGCCCAGGGGCTGGTGTGTCCTGGTTTAAAAGCACTCCAGCCCGCGTTCAGCCTACACCATTATTTTTAAATACACCGAGCTTGACAGATGTACTCAGATCAGATCTCTCCGCGTTTCTTTCCCATTCAGTTTAGCGGAGAAAGTTTGCCAGACTGGTGTGTGTATTCTATAGGTGAGAATGTTAGGATCTCACGGTTCCTTTCGCTAAAGTCTGAGTCCAGCAGTGATACGGCAGATTATCTGAAATGTGAGTAAAAATAGTTTCCTTTCCAGGCTGCTCCCCTCCCCCCCATTTCTTACTCTTCGCAGTGAAAGTCGTGAGCTCTCAGTCAAGGTGTGCAGTAAAAGGGTTTAGTGCATGGTTTTAGTGGAGTTTGTGGCTCAGCCACTTGCTCGCTGGCAGGATCCTGGGCTGTTAAACTGTACCCCAGGCTGTTCTGCAACAGCCACATCTTGGGGCTGCTGGAAGGGTTTACTAAGCAGAGCCACCAGCATTCCCCGAAACAATGCCAGACTCAGGCAGTAACTGTGTGGCTTCATTGTGGCGGGAGTTGTGTTATAGTTTCGACAGTCCCCTCCACCTAGAAGGGGAAGCCACATCCTGGGGAGAACCTTAGGTTGAGAAGCGCACGCTTCTGGATGCAACTTGTGTGCCTTGCAAGGCTCTGAACGTGAACGTGCTTCTTCTGTGAAACAAGGAGCTGGATGAGGATCAGGCCTCTTCCAACTGCTCTTCTGCTGTGGCTGTTGTATTCATCCAAACGTAAGAATGTGACTGCCGGTGTTTCTGCTCCAGAGCATCTTCTATCCTTATGGGCCCGAGCATGCTTTAGGGAGCCCCGCCCACCCCCTCTTTTGGAAAGAACGTTTCAACTTTAAAATCAAAGTATGGATATCTCAATATCCTCACTGGCAAAAAGTGACCTGTGGCCACCTCAATAATAACGTGGCTAAATTTTCTTTCAGCTACATGATGCCCTATAGAAAAGAAAACTAAACAAACAAACAAAACCAAACACCTCTCCCCCACAAAAAAACCCAGATTATTCTTATCTCCTAGGGGTATACCACCTAAGTCAATAATTGAAAAGCTTAAAAAGTATAATGGAATTAATATACACATACCTGAGCACGTGTGAGTTATAAAAGTCAGTGATTTCACAGTCTGTTTTGTAGTTTGCATTTATACCAGTGTCGAAGGTGACGATAGGGTCAATGTCAACTCCCAGGCGTGAGGGCAAGAGAGAGTTTCTCAAGAGGCAGCCGCAGGCAGCCTTGAGAACTAAGGAGCAGCAGATGAGATTTCACAAGGGGCTGTTTGGCCAGACATCATATTTGACACAAGATGGTGCCCAATTTTTACTTATGTGTGTGCGTGTGGGGGCAGAGAACACCGCCTAGTGAATTTTGAATATTCAAGTCTTTTCATAAAATTTCTGTGTTTACTTCCAGATACAAATTTGAGTTGGAAGAGACATTATTATTACTTTCCCTCCCCCAGAAATTTCAGTGAAAACTGAAGATGACTCCTTAGGCAGGTGGCTAAGTCATGCTAGCCATTTAAATTCAGGATTGGTCTATTTCAGGTACTTGAGAATATTCTATCTATTTTAGAAAATAGATGTCAGTGGCAGAAAGACATACATACATATATGATTTTAGATGTGTGTGGTGTCACAAGCCTGTAACCTCAGCATTCAGAAAGCTGGGACAAAGTGATTGTGAGTTCAAGGCCAACCTGGGATATGCCCTGTCTCAAAGTACAGACAAATGAACAACAGCCAAATACTTTTTATTTAGTACTGGATTCATTTATATAGCTGGCTACAGACCAAGGTCTGTAAATGAAATGACATGTTTACTACAAAAAAAGACAGACATATGTTTTTTTTTTTAAGCAGTGAAAGGTCATAGTGGTTTTGTTTGTATGCTTTCTATGATGCAATCTAAATGTAATCTACACACAAATGGTTTTGCATGGAAACTAGTTTTATTCATTTAGTTATTTCTTTGTAATTGGGCCTGGCCATAGAGATAGAAATACTTGGTGACTACAAGAACAGCTTGTTTTTAGTAGTCTGGTGTAAATGACCAAATAACTTGTCAGCAGAATTTTTAAGCAAAGCACCTTCATAAATCTGTCTAGCACCAGTACCAGGAAAGAAAAGTGCTAGAGACTACAGTGTGGGCGTTGCAGGGATCTTTGGAGTGAATACAACTTCTCAGACAGCAGAAATAAGGGCATGACCTGTATTTTGTAAAAGATATCTGTTACTATGTAGTGTAGAAACGGAGAATCCTGCCTTTGAAGGAAATTAAATTTTTATTTTTATCCAAGTTAGGTACATATCTATGTAAGGTCAGAAAATGACACGTCTTATCTGGAGTCAATGTTTCTTCTCCCCTACAGCTTGTTTTGGACTTACCAGAGGCCTCATTTCTGACTCTTGTGGATGCTCCATAACAATTTGCCTTTAGAATGCCAAATAATATGCTGCTCTCAATTTTCTTTTCCAGTTTTAGGTTCTATCTCTTGGAATATTAGTGGAAAACGGTTGAGTTCTCATCTACTGCCTGCAAGAGTTTCCTTCTACTCATTCATTTAATATGATCAGGTCAACATTTTTGCTTAGCTCAGTATTGATATTGATGTCATCTTTTAAATGCTGTTCACAGTTGATCCAGTTGGGATATCCATATATGTATGTATGTATGTATGTATGTATGTATGTATGTATGTATGTATGTATATATATATATATATATATATATATATATATATATATATATATATGTCTTTTTGTTAGTCTCCTATGGAGTGACTGCTAAGGTCATCTGTAAATTCTCTATTTCAAGCTCCTGAGCTGTTTCAGCTTTGTCATTTTCTTGGTATTCTCTACTGTTACATCCTGAGCTCTTTCTTCAGTGTTTCCCCAAGACTTCAGTCACCTCTCATTTTGAGCATGCCTCCTTTCTTGATTTATGCTTTGGTGTTTGTGGACCACATCCTCCAGGAGCCTTCTGACAAAGGCCAACATGGATGAGAGATGCATTTTGAAACATTTCAACTGAAAATCAACTCATGTTACAATTATACATAATTGTACAATTCTGCATAGAATTCCATGCTGTAATTTTCCTCCTCAAAATTTGGTAGCATTACTCCATTGGCTTCTAGACTCTGAAGTTGCTGTTTGAATAGATTTATTCTGAAGTAGTGTTTACTATCACTGCCCCCCCCCCCTGAAAATTTTAGAATCTTCTTTTTGCTCTCAATGCTCCAGCACTTCATCACAGTTCACATTGCTCTCAGTATTTCACCTTGAACCTTGGTTGGTCCCTTTTCTCAGAAACCCTAAGAATATTAAACTATTTCTTTGATGATTTTATTCCATTTTTTCTATATATTTTTAACTTGATGTTAGATGACCTGACTCTCAACATTTCTTGTTGCCCACTTTTTGTCCTCTTTAATGCTCTTTGTTTGGGGATTTCTTTCGTCTGCTCTCCAGAGTTACTGTTGCATTATTTTTTTTAAAGATTTATTTCTATTATTTTGTGTCCATGAGCACTTTGCCTTGCCTGCATGTATATCTTTCTATCACATGTGTGCATGTATGTCTTTACATCACATGTGTGGCCTGGTACCCTGGTGCCAGAGGCGGTGATGGGCCTCTCTGTGGGTGCTGGGAATTAAACCTAGGTCCTTTGAAATAACAAGAAGTGCTCTTAACCACTGAGCCAAGTGTCCAGCCCTTACTGTTGGATTTTTCATTTCTGCGATCACACTTCCTGTGTGCAGTGTGTCTCACTCTGCTCTGCCTCCATGCACTACCTTCCTTCTCCTGTGTCTAAGTGCCTACACAGAACGAGGGTGTGAGAGTCTGGTGGAGAGTGTGGAAAATGTCCTTTTCATTGTTGCTTTAAAGTGGTTAGAGGACATGCATTTAAAAATGCTGCCTGAAAAGGTCTACTTCCCATCAGCTGCTCCCAGAAGTAGGCAGGGACAGCCACAAACCACAGACAGTGTCTCTTACTTGAAGGTCTCCTGCTGGGAGCAACCTTTTACCCACTTGTCGACTAGCCTACAAAGTTGTGCTGTGTACAAGTAGAGATACCTCAAAGAAGAAGAAAGAGCCCAGTATACCTCGTCTGCTCTTCCAGACCCACCAATAAGATAATCTATTACTTTCTGTCTCCTTGGGACTAGAGGGAGGACAAATGAAAGCCCCTTGAGAGAAGAGGGATACTAACCCTTTGGGAGTTGTTGGAATAGAAAGCCAAGACTGTGGAAAGGAGATTTCCCCTAGTGTGTGTGTGTGTGTGTGTGTGTGTGTGTGTGTGTGTGTGTACCACTTGCAATGTGATTGGTTCTCTTAATTAACATTTAAGGCCATTCCTGTGCCCTTCCCCCTTTGATTACAAGATCATGCTGCAACGAAGAGAGGCCATTTATGGGGACAGTGTGGCACCTAGATGGGGAAGGATGACACCTAATGTCACAAGTTAAAGTGGAACACGTTGAAAGAAAAAAGGCTACTAAGAAGCACATAGCATCATGTCATTATCCTTTACACCTGAAGTTTAATATTTTGATCTTAAATAAATAGTTGTGTATTAAAGCCAGGCTTGATGACGCGTACTTGGCCCTTGGAAGCCAGAGGCAGGTGGATTTCTTGATTTGCAGAAAATTGCAACCTGTTCTACATAGCAAGTTCTAGGACAGAATAGGCTTACACAGAGAGATGCAGTCAAAACTTTGACACCTATGTATGGAAATACACATTGACACAACAACGCTGTCTGCATTTACCCCCCTCCCCCAACTGGTGCAGGAGGATTGGCAGACCCTGTTTCTCTGTCAGTCTCACCTATTTTTGGGAGGTCTGAGGATGACACAGATTTCCACATACTTCTTAGATTTTGCTTACTCATCTGCCACTTGTGCTTATTAACTATGCAATTAAATATGATGAAATATGAACAATCACAGAAAACTATCTCAGAAAAAAAAAATTCAATCCTTTTGATAAATAGTGTAAAGGGAAGTTTGCTAAAAGTACCCACAGTTCAAAGAATGAGAAAACCCTAAAAGGTTGAAGGACACCATAAAAAGGTAAGGTTCTTTATTCTGAGCATTCTGTTGGGGATATTAAATTCTTGCTTCTACCTAAGTTGAAACTAGATGACAGTGTATGTTATGGATTTGGATTATCTGAGAGAAACAATGCCCTGTACCTCATCTTGGGAACGAGGATTTCCTTCTGGTAGCAAACCATATACTTGACTCAAAAATCACTAAGAATGAAAAGAATGAAAGTCTAAGCAGGTAGCCAAATGCTACTGTCTGACATGCTTCCTTAGTCACAAATGGGTTGTAACTTCAAGAAAAATTCATCAGAAGCCATGGTAGAAACAGGAGGAGAAGTAAAGAGGCAAAGCAAGAATGTAAAAATAGAAGCATCATGAAGGCCCGAGTCTGTCCAGGACGTAGGGATGTGGCCTCAGGGCACATTCTGTTTTATTCAAGGGCAGGTATAGCTCTCAAAACAATGCCTAGGATCGGCACCTGGTGCCTTTAGATACTTGTATCATCCCACCAGCTTCTCTGATTCACATTTCCACCTGTGTAGCCTCCTACTGTGTATAATTTGGCTCCCCAGTTAGCATGCCTAGATACAGGCCATGTTGACACAAGTGTATTCATGACCATTCCAGGCCCCCCTGGAACTTGAGCAACCTTCAGTTCTGACGATCTATTTATAAATACCATGTAGGCTATGTGCCCAATGTGCCAGCAGAAGCGGTTTCTACACGTGGCTATTGAGAGACACTGAACTCTAAACACTTGATACCAGTTGATAAGAGTTCCTTAGTGGACAGCCAATCAGAACTTCATGGGTCCCTCTGGAGATGCCCACTCTTGGAATCCATGCTCTTTGAATTGTCCCAGCTTTAGCCTCTTATTAGCTATTTTATGCCTGTGATTTTCCCATTTAAAAAATTTGATCGAAAGTGAGGGTCCAAGTCAGTAATTAGGAATTTCTTTTGTGAGCTTCTTTGTTGAGACATCTTGAGGTTTTTTTTTTTTTAAACAAATCCCAAATATATAATCATATTTCCAAAAAACAAAACAAACAACAAAAAACCCCAACCCTTACTCTCACAGTTATGGGCTTCAGGAGTTTTATATTGTCTCAAAACTGTTTTCTAGAACTGTTACCCTGTGTATGAGGTCTTATGTAGTAAAAAAAGGTCAGTTATAGCCTGATACCGAGCTACTGTGTGTAGTGAATGACATAGCAACAGGAGCCCAGGCCTTTATGAAGGATGCCAAAGCTACTTAGGCACCACTTGCAATTTGTTTTATGTCTTTCAGCACTCACATCTCAGAGAGCTGGCATGCATCATGATAAGGCAATTTACAGCACCCAGGCTTTTGTGGGTCTCTTCACATTCTGTGTAAAGGGGAAATACAGTTCTTCTGGTCATGGGACCTCTGAGCCAAGAACCAGCAGATTGACTGGACAGTGGCCAAGTTCCCCCATTTCACTCGAGGCCACGGGCAACAACCTCTTAAACCCTCGTATATTTGACAGTGAGACTACAAACTTATAGAACTTGGAAACTGAACAGCACACATTGCTTTTAGTTTTCTTTTATTTTAAGTTTCTTGCCTCTTAGTATGTTTTATGAGCCTGGGTTTGTAGCTGCTTCTTGCTGATCAGATGCGCTTCGTCTATTTGTATAATTTCTGGTCTTTTCTGTGTTCTATCAGGAGGCTGTTGTGCCTGTGCTTCTGGCTCCTATCACTTGGCTATGGTGCTATTTTACTAAGTTTCTCTGAATTACAATTAGTATGCATTTCCTTTTGTTCCTTTTTTCTATGGTTTCATCTTAGGACTTAGCTACCCATAGTTAACTGTGGTTTGAAAACTTTGAAGGAAAATTTCTGTAGGCAAACAGCTCATAAGTTTCAAGTTACTTTCGTTGTAGTATATTGTTATAATTGTTCTATTTTATTATTAGTTACTATTGCAACTAATAATAAAACTATCTATTCTTAGTTACTACCTGTCACAGTGTCTAACTTAAAAGGTAAGTTTTATCATAGGTGCAAATGGTAAGGAAAAAATGGAGTATATTTCTCTAACCAACTTTTGGGGATCCGATAGGACCTGCAGTGGATCTCTTTGGCTAAGTGGTGACCATGGGTTAGGTAGTTTATGAGGAGACATTCGAGATTATATAAACTGCCCCTTCTGCCTCTGTTGTGCTCTGGTCGTTTTGGCCTGCTTTCAGCCTGCTGTGTGTGGGCGACTCTGACAATGTCTCTCTCCACAGTGGTGGTCATGTGTGCCAGTGGTGACACCATTCGGAGCATCATGTTGGCGGTGCACAGACATGGCATGACCAGTGGAGACTACGCCTTCTTCAACATTGAACTCTTCAACAGTTCTTCCTACGGTAACTTTCCAGCATCGCCAACTCTGTCAAAGGGCTGTAAAGAGGAGGGAGAAAGACTCAAAAGCTTTAGTGAAGTCCATAAATGTAATTTCAGTTACCATGGGAGCCCTATTTGCTTTTGGTCATTCATGTTTCTGGGCGCCCCCACAATGCCTCATGGTTTCCCAAGTGTTTCATCTTTTCTGAGAACCCAGTAGGAGCAAAAGACACCATGTACCTGCCGTGAGAAGGAACTTCTGTGTGGGTCAGTGTAGTCCACCCGTAACTGCACAGGAACGTACATGCAGGCACCAAATGTTCTTTCTTGTCATGGTAGATGGTCAGAATAACTTAAGTGCGATTTGGAGTAGGATTTTAGGCAGCAAGAACAGATTAAGGCGTACTGTTATAGGATACAATATGCCAAGATGTGCCGTAGTTAGCAGATGTTTTGCTTCATAAAACTTTTAATAGTATAATAGTATGTGAATATATATAATATTTATTCATATTATACATGTGTTTCTTATAGGCTGCAATACAAAATAAAAATAACTGTCACTTCAAGTTGAGATAAAAGCACTTGGAAGTCTTTGTCCCAGATTCCCCTTCCTTGTAGCTCACTACATCTTAATCCCTCTATAGGAGAATTTCATGAGCCACTGCATAGAGGGTGAAGACATCTTTGATTCCTTATAATGGAGTAAGGGAAATTCCCAGGATCTGTGTAATAAAGGATTGTTTTTTTTTTTTTTTTTTTTTAATTAAAATAAGTAATTTGTTGTACCTGTTTGGGTGTTTTGCCTGCATTCATGTCTGTGCATTATATATGTGCAGTGTCCAAGAAAGCCAGAAGAGGGCATTGGGTACTCTAAGAACTATCATTACAAACTGTTGTAAGCTTCCATGTGGTTGCTGGGACTTGAATCTGGGTCCTCTGAAAGAGCAACTAGGACTCTTTTTTTCTTTTAATTTTTTTTTTTTTTTTTTTTTTTATGATTTGTTCACTTTGTTTCCCGGTTGTAGCCCCCTCCCTCTTCTTCCAGTCCCACTGTCCTTCCCTCTTCTCCCCTCTTTTCTTTCCCTAGTCCACAGAAAGGAGGAGCCTTTTTCCTCTACCATCTGACTCTAGCCGTTCAAGTCTCATCAGGATACCTGCATCCTCTTCCTCTGTGGACTGGCAAGGCTGCCCCACCAGGGGAAGTGATTAAAGAGCAGGCAACTGAGTTAATGTCAGAGACAGCCCCTGCTCCCCTTACTCGGCCCATGTGGAGACTGAGCTGCTATTGGCTACATCTGAGCAGGGAATCTAGGTCTTCTCCATGGTTGGTGCATCAGTCTCTGCAGACCACTCCCGCGCCTTTTGAGCCCAGATTTGTTGGCTTTGTTGGTCTCCTTGTGCTGCTCCTGTCCCCTTCAGGTCCTTCTATCTCCCCCCCTGCCCCCCGCCCCCCTTCCCTGCTCCGATTTCGCCCCTCCCACCTCCCCCCCCCGCTACTCTTCCACTCTTCCACAGGGCTCTTAACCACTGAATCATCTCTCCAGCACGCACGCAGTGGGAGAAGGTTTAAGAGGTTCAATGTGATCACAAATACAAAGCCGTTTCCTCCCACTGCAGTCAGGACTCTCTCACAAGTAGACATTTCAGAACTATAGGACATTTCCTCACACAGAAACACTGGCTGCTCTACAGCAGTAAACATGCAGATCACAGATGGCATGTTTACGGTGAGCTCCGCTTCCCAGTGCTTGCTGATGCTGTATTGTTATTTAGATAGGATCCAAGCTGTTAAACATTCAACATGGCTTCCTGCCCTGATTTCCTGGCTTACTTAAGCAGTGAACAGCGTTTATATACAAATAATATAACACACTTCTTCTGAGAATAGAGAAAAGTGGATGAAACAAAAGCAGCTACTGCTTCCTGTAATGGGTTTTTGGGGGATGTGGCGCTTGCAGGATGAACACAGTAGTTCATCTTACTCCCTCGCATTATGGGCTTTCCGCCCCTCCTTTCCGTAAGTGGACTGTTGCTCTCACTGACGCCAGACCAGAACGTCACGATATCAGTGGCTGCAGCACCGGGCTCTTTAACACACGGGTCAAAACAGGTTAAAGGAAAACACCAACTCTGTCTTACGAGGTGGAATACAGAATTTAAGGTGATTCATAACAGTGCATGCTATGAACAGACAAGCCCATTTATAGGTTTCTACTGTTGTTACAATACATGAGCATTGCAGAAAATTTGGAAAAAAATCTGTAAAAACAACCTGGAGAAAATAGGTTAAAATCCTGCAACTCTGACAAGAAGTTACATTCCAATTTCTTAGAAATATATATCTTGTTTATCATACGTATTTCACAGGAATATTTTTCAATAAAATGATCATATTATGGTACAGCTACATAGCATATCTTTAATTAATCTCCATTTCCTAACACTGCTCCCAGCCTTTTGATATTGGGAACAGTATATTTTGGATAGCCTGTTGTGTATATACACTTACATCACGTGCTCAGACATATAATATATATTACATGATATAAACTTCCAGAGGCACAATGCTGACTCGGTGCTTATGTGCAAGCATTGATAGGAATTGGAAACTTTGCCCACATAGAAGTTTTACCAGTTTATGTTTTTGGACAATGATGACGTTTTGTGTATTTTTGTATCCTTTATCTATCTTGCAAAATATAACTTTATTTATTGGAATTTATTTTTTATGTTCATAAGCAAAGTTTCTGTAGTTTTAATTTTTAATCTGTTGTTGTAAGTGTTTGTGCCCGTGCGAACTGTGGTGTGTATGTGGAGGTCAGATGACAATATTATGGAGCTGATTCTCTCCTTCCAAGCTTTATGTGAGCTTTGGGGATGGAATGAGGGCCATCAGGATCGAGTGGCAGATGCCTTTACTTGCTGAGCCATTATGCAGGCCCCCTTTTAATTTATTTTTTCAATTTGTTTTTATTTTATGCGTGCAGGTTTTTTTTGTCTGCATGTATGTCCATGTACCACTTGTGTGCCTGGTGGGTGCCCGAGGAGGCCAGAGGAAGATGTTGGGTCCCCTGGAACTAGAGTTACAGGCAATTGTGATCTGTCATTGGCGTGCTGGGAATCAAACCGGAGTCCTCTGGAAGAGAAGCCAGTGCTCTTTATTTTGTGCCATCTCTTCAGCATCCCCTTCCAGCTTTATTTTTAACATACATGTTTTAAAAAGTATATTTAAAGTTTTAGAAATCACTTTTTTTTTTTTTTTTGAGACAGTCTTTATGTAGACCTGGCTGTCCTGGAAGAGCTGGACCAGGCTGGCTTTGAACTTGCAGAAATCTACTAGACTGTTTCCCAAATGCTGGCATTCAAGGTGTGTGGCACCATGCCTGGGCAAAATTAGCTACATTAACTTGAGCAACCTGTGACTTTTAGACATACAGAAAACTTGCAAAAATAATAGGGAGTTCGTGTCTATAGCTTATATTTAAACTACTTACATATTGAAAACCTTATTTTATGGATTCAATTTTTTTTTTCTTTTTAGTTTTTTTTTTGGTTTAGGTTTGTTTCTTTTCTTTGATGTGTGTAGGTGTTTGCTTGGCATGTATGTATGTGCGCCACTTGTGTGCCTGGTGCCCACAGAGGGGGGAAGAATGCATCTGGTTGGGGTGCTGAGAACTGTATTGAGGTATTCTGCAAGAGCAGCCAGTGCTCCTAACTGCCAAACCATCTCCCTAATTTCAAAATGGTTTTACACAAATCACAGCGAATCCTAGAGGTTTCTGATGAAATCTGCATTATTTTCATTTTACTGGACATTTGCTCAGACTTTGGGCTTTGATCTCAATTAGCCTGAGAGACTGTCCTAGAGACTAACTCTCAAGGGCTAAGACCTAAGAGTTTTAACAGCTGCAACCTTAATCTCTGAAAAGTGAGTTAACCTGTGCTCTTCTGAAGCCTTAGCCTGTTCTAATGACACGTTAGGCTGAGTAACAGATAAACACAGGAGAAGAATGTGTTAACTACCCAGCAGGTCTTATAAAGCATAATAATTATTTAACCAGTGTTTGCCACTTTCATCATTAGTCTTAGTTTGCTTTGGCCACGGCACACGGAATGTTAAGCACTGTAGTTAAGTTATTAAATTTTTCTCTGGTGGTAGTTCTATATACACATTTCAGGTGATATGTTCTGCTGTTGTATTCACTGAATTTCAGCTAATCCACCCTAAGGGGCTGCATGCATTATGAATTACACCTGTAAGTGAATAATCATTACACTTAACTAGAGTGACACAAATGTAAAGGTATTTTTTTTTTTCCCCCTGAAAGAGCTCTGGAGGTTGGAAGGCCAGGGTAGGGATCTGATTCCATAAATGTTACAAACTTATGTTTCCTGCCTCCATTTTTAATATCACAGATTGCAGCCAGGGCTGCAGGGGTCATTTCTTAATTCTAGTCAATCTAGGTCAAGCATAGCCAAGGAGAGAAGACCCTTCCCGGTGACTCCAGTATCTTTGTTGGCTACCATGGAAGTTCTACTCAACTTCCGGTTTATGAGGTTGGCTACTCCTAGATAAAACCTAGGTCAGAAATTGTTTTCTGTTAGACTCCCCAGCATCAAAACCACTGTGGGATTCTGTGACTAAGGAGGGGAGGGGCATAGAGCCACGCCTTGCCAAGTCTTCCACAGATCCTGAAACTCGTTCATCAAAGAGGAAGTGGCCAAAAGAATCACACAGTGGGCAGAATCCTGGGGACCTTCATTGTGAGAATCATTAAGATGGTCTTCTTTGGAAATTTAAACACCTAGCCGGGTGAGGTGGTGCAAGCTTGTGATCCCAGCACTCGGAGAGGCAGAGGCAGAGGCAGGTGCATCTCTGTGAGTTTGAGGCCAGCCTGGTCTACTACGTTATTCGAGGACAGCCAAGGATACACAGAGAAACTCTGACTCAAAACAAAACAAAATAAAAATAAAAAAAGGAAAAAAGAGAAAGAAAGAACATTCAAACACCCACAATCAG